CTCCCTGATTTCCCATTCTCCCATTTAGTAATAAGATCTCCAGTCTATGGATTCTTGACTTTTTATACTGGTACCTCTATTAACAACTCATGACTTGTAGAGGTTTTAAAAAATTATCATCCTACATATTACTTATTAATTACAAAGGAAAAACAGTGCCTTTATAATGTAAATCTAGGAAACATTACGTTATTCAAATGATCAAATTTACACCAATAATGAAACTGACATCTTGTGCCTCTGATGTGCTACATTGAGACAGACCTAAAATCACCTAGGTAGCATTCCAGACAGCAGTGTTTCACCTTATCTGATCACAAAGAAACGTTCAGGCAAATCCAAACTGAGAGGCATCCTACAAAGCAGCTGGTCTGAACGCTTACTGTCATGAGACTAAAAAAAAGGCTGGAAAACAGGTCCAGATTAAAACAGGCAACTAAATGCAAAATCCTTGGTTGAATCTTGGGTCAATAACAAAAATTTAAAAACTAAGGAAATGTCCAATGAAAGTCATGTTCCTGACTCTTCCCATGTATTATTACCAAATTTAATCCTATCTAACTCACTGCTTGAGATGGGGGTTCAATGATAAATGACTAATATGAGAATACCTGAAGAAATCTGGATATGTACTACACACTAAATAATATTACATCCATGTTAAATTTCTTCAGGGTGTCAACAGAATTGCAGGTATGTAGAAGAAAGTCCGTGTTCTTGGGAAATATAGACTGAAGTATTGGGGATAAAGTGTCCTCATGATATCTATACCTAACTCACAAATGATCGAGCAAAAAATGTCTACTTGCACAAAAAGCAAAGTTTTAATAATTATCCAATCTAGATGAAGAATATATGGGTGTTTATTGTACTCCTGCAGCTCTTCTGTAGGCTTACAATTTTTCAGAGTTCGAAAACAGTATTTAAAAGTTATAGATTCAACTTGCATCTACCTACCACTTCAGCATTTTATTAAAAATAAAAATAATAATAATAAAGGGAGAAATGTGGGATCAACATATAAATCAAGTATAAAAATCAAACGAATATTCATATTTGACCTGATTGTTTATAGTTCATGATGCGTGATCAAAACCAAAAGTTTCTGTGATGAATGCCCTTGTACTGTTCACCATGTAAGAATTTATTCACTATGTAAGAACTTGTTCGTTATGCTTCAGAAGATTGGAGACTGTTGAGGATTAGGCCTGGGGTGGATTAATGATTGTGCATTGAGTCCACTATACAGGATTTTATTGTTGTTAACAACCATTTGATCAATAAATATGAGAGATGCCCTCTCAAAAAAAAAAAAAAGTTATAGATTCAAAAAAACAAAATCAACAGAAAATAGAGAAAGTTGCAAAGAATGATTTAGCACTTGTTTTCTGCCTCCCAGAATTAACAGCTAACACTGTCATAGTTGCTTCTAGTCTTCACAAAAAATAGGTATCATCCCCTTTGCCACATCATCCCATTCTTATTGTCTTCCAGACACTGTGAAATTCTAAGGTAGGGAATGCCCATTTTCAACTTTACAAGAACTGCAAATAGTGTCTCTCAAGGCAACTGCACCAACTTGAACTCCACTAGCAGTTTCTAAATTACCATTTTCAACCACATCTTCACTAATATTTGACACTGTCAAACATTAAATTTTTTTTGTCAATCTGGGCATAAATACCCCAAAGAGAATTTAAAGATCGGAGTTCACACTAACATTTCTACAGCATTTGCTTTCTTCTGCCTCTATGTCTACCAGAAAAAGAGATGCAGGGAGATGCTGAGTGGCTCATCTCAGGTCACAAGGCTGATACATAGGTGACCAAATGCTTGAACCCAGACAACTTGACACAACGAACACCTTGGGCTTTTCACTGGCACTCAGCTGCCTTGCCTTTGATATCATTATGATGAGGACTCAAGTGGAAGGAAATCCAGCCTCAGCCCTGACTCCAGATAACAAGCAATGAGACACCATTCCAGCCCAAAGTGTGTAGACTGATGGGCCTCATCTGTGCAGTTGGTACAACTGCACTTTCACATCTCCCTCACAACCTATTGAATATGTTCACAAAGTAAATTCTGTAAGAGATATATACATAGATCATAGATACAACAGAGGTCCTAAGGTAGGAATTCTTATTCATGCTATTCTTGATTTGTTATGACTTTGGGGAAGTTTCATACCTTCTCTACACAACCAGTATTACCTACTATGTGGAAAGTAAGTTCTATGGAGAAGATCAATTGTATGAAGGTGTCAAAAAATATCACCTACTATCATATTTCATGACATAAATTTTTTTTGGGTCAATCTGATGTGAAAAATGCAGTGTCACTTACACCAAACTAGGACCATACAACAAAAGAGCCTTAGCAAAATAAGAACTTCACCCACAGACCCTTCCTTTTATTACATCACTATAGAAAGTTGAGGATAATCAAACCTACATGAAAGCATATACTAAGAATTAGTCCCCATATGAAACTGAATGCTCACAAAAGAACCACACAGTGTTTGGGAATTAATTACCTGTCTTTTAAAAAATATAAAATGAAAAGCTTCAAATTCAACCCAGCATGCATACCACCATTTCCAAGATTTTAAAAATGAATGTGTTTTAATCCTAGAAATAAAAAACTTACTTCTTATAAATTAACTCATTAATTTACTTATTCGGCATTTACTGAGTACCTATTATGTTCCAGACACTACTCTAGCACAGCACTGAAGACCAAGTTCCTATTCTCACATACCTGACATTCTAATGAGACAAAAATCAAAATAATAAAGAAATTCACAAATAATATGATATCCGGTATATATATACTGTAAAGAAAATAAAGAGATAGGAATAATGAATTACAAAGGGGGCAGTATAAGGACACAGAAAGTACCAGGCAAGATCTCTCCAAAGTAGTGGTTTGTAATATGGTGTGTTAAGTATAAACTATTGCAGCACCAACATCTGTTTCATAAAATACTCTTATTCAGCATTTCATACCCCCTTCCCTTTATTTTTTCCAGAAAAAGTTTGCTATAGTGCTTTTCCATTATTGCTTTTATTTTAGAGGGGAAAAATATTTCACAAGAGATGATGACAGGTGCTTTATAAACAGGTGCAAATTTCAAGTCACACATTCTGAAAAAAATGTTAAGAATGATTTGTCAGTGAGAAGCCTGATGACAAAATGAAGCTGAACTGCAAGAATTTAAAATGAAATTTCAAGAAAATGACTTGACAATTCTTCAACTGTATCATCTGCACATTTACTTTCTATCATATATGAAAAGAAGAATAAAAGCAATAGGAAAATACATCTTAAGAGATCCTGCGGTTTTCCACTTAAGGACAGAAAAATTGGAATACCCCTCTCTAAGCCACAGTATCTACATGATTAAAGAAAACCAGCACACACTAAAATTACCTTTCACAGGCTTACACAAGGGTTTAGAGGGCTTCAATTACTCGGAACTAGAAATGCCTTAATACAAAAACCTAAGGGCCAAAGTATTCACTTCTCTCTTTCCTCTTATTTTTTCCTCAGATATTTTGCTGATTCTCTAGTCCCTGAATGAAATATATGTGGTCTAGTCTCTTTTAAAACTATTACTCTGATCCCAGCCAAATCTTTTCTTTTACTTTCTGATTACAAAATTCCCTCTTTCACCTACATTATCATCCTATCTGCACTGTCTTCCTTCTTATCTAATGATTCAAAAATTCTTACAGGCAGACGAATAAGATTCCCAAAACTTATTGCTTCTTCAGGAGTCCTTAGTCTTTTTGTGCCATGGATCTTGGGTAGTCCGATGAAACCTACAGATCCCTTCTCAGTTTTAAATGCATATTTAAATACATAAGATTAAAAAAGGAAACAATTACACTGAACTATTTGCAAAACAGTTTAAAAATCCTGATATGGCTATGTATGTGTAGCTTTATTATCACATTAAATATAATAAGATCTAACAAGTCTAATAATACCATAAATTTGAAGAAATTATTAGCATAAATGATATCTGGAGATATCCGCAACAACCATAAAAATGATTTTTAAAAGTCTGTAATTTTTACTGGTGACATAGTCACAGGCATTGCAAATTCTAATTCCACTGTGGTTTATTGCCTACACTCATAATGAAAAGAATAAATTACAGTTATCATATAATGAAAATAAAGATGGGATTTTAATCTCCATTCTAGTTCAAGGATCCCCTGAATTCTGTCCCCCAACTGGTGAATCCCAGGTTAAAAGCCCTTTCTAGTTCAAAGTCTTGCTCAAGATGATTCTTGTCACAAGTTTTTAAATAAAAACACTGGTTCCTCCTTTCACCTAGCTCTCATCTGAGCAGAATATCATCATGCCTCTCTGATTTTTCACAGGTTTTTACACAGAATCCTGTTTATTTCACCCATTTACATTTTGCTAGTCAATAAAAAGTGAATTTGCAGAAAAGGAGATGGAAGCAACCAAAAGTCCCTCATTTCCTGACCTCCACGGCAAATGGAAAGATGCCAGATACACTGTGTGTTTGCGGTGGCCGGGGGGCGCAGCCACTCAAGACCAACTCTTGAGTCCAGCTTGTCAAGAGTCCCCGAAGGCCGACATCTTCACAGAGGCGCTCAGAATACATTCCACCTCCTTCTCGCCTCCTATACTCAGTTCCCTACCAGCCTGGTGGCTCGCCTCGGGCTTCCACCCGAAACTGCCCCGCGGTCCTCCGGCCCCTTCCCAGCCCATCCCCCACGCGTCCCTCCCTGTCGTCGGCCCCAGGCCACCCTGGCCCCTGCGCGCCACCACGGCTCTCCCCGGGGCCTAACCGTATCTCCTCCTTCCCTCACTTCTCCAGACACCACAGGGAAGGGCCCAGGGGTCAGCCAGGATGGGCGGCCCGGCCGTCAAGCGCAGCGTGCGGCCCTAGGCCGGAGCAGCCCGGCCGCCAGGCGGGGAGCCGCGTACTCTGCGTGGGTGAACTCGAAACGCGTACTCACCAAGAGATCACGCGGAAGTGGGCACCGCGATCTCCGCTAGGCCGTCGCTCGGCCTTACAGCCGTCGCCCTCGCCGCAAACTGCCACCGCCACTGCCGCCGCCGCCACTCGCTAGTTGGCTCCTCTGCGTCCTGCGGCGGCGCTGCCGCCACGCCAGCGCGCGTGCGCAGTGCCGCGGGGGCCCCTGGGACTGGTGGTCCGGGCGGCGGGCCGGCTGCTGGTTCCCCTTCAGCTTTAGCCACCCGGGTCCGCTACCCGCTTGAGCGGTGGCGGGCGACGCGGGTACCGCGAAGCGCCTTCCGGGAACCTGGTGAAAACCAGACGCGCAGGCCCTTGCTTGCGCGCATGGTACTGCTGGATGTGAAAAATCGCCTGAGCAAGTATGTGTGAAGTATAACAAGTCAGAGCTTTTACGCCGTCCTTAACAACTGTCACTTGCCCAGGACACGTCGTTGGAAGCTCACACACACATACACACACCTCTCCTCTCCCTCGATGTTAAGTGTCGCTAACTGTTGGTAGTATCTGGATTATCAGCTTTGAACCTGATTTTCCACTCCTCATTTTACCAAAATTTACATATTGTAAACTTGACCATGTGGTTGATTAACCATTTATCTAATAAAATTTTTTTTTTTTTACAAAACCAATTTAGGTATATTCAAATATCAAATTAACCGAGCTGAACAGTCACAGAAACCTTAGACTCGGAAGACACCTTGAAGGTCATTTGACCAACTCCTCCCCGGGGAAGGAATTCCCTCTTGTACATTCCAGTCAGACGGTCATCCAACTTCTATTTCAGCAGTTCGAATTTCTGGGAGCTCACTATCTTAAGTAAGGCAGCCTACACCATTGTTGGACAGCTCTAAATGTTAGAAAGTCCCGCCTCCTGTTGAACTGTAATCTGCTTCCCTTTTTCTTCCATTGCCGGTAGTTATGCCTCCTGGGGCAAAATGGAATGTTTTCCACTTGACAGCCTTTCAAAATATTGAAAACAATGATTATATCCTCCAACTCTGGGAGTCTTCAGGAGAAAAAAAGAAGAAAAGTAATAATCAGTTTTTCAACTATTTCAAATGTGAATCAGCTCCCAGATTGCTTTCCATTTAATCATCCTCCTTGATGTATTACCTCTAAAACTTGTCAAAATTTTCTTCATATTTATTGCCTCATTTTATTACCATGATAGCATTCTATGGTAAACTGTTCAGGTATTGTTGCTATCATATTGCCATTCAACTGATTAAAGAATTCAATCCAAAGATTATTTATCAGCTCTGTTATAAAGAATTGTCCAAAAGCAGAAGGGGAATTTTAAAAAGCAACAGGATATGATTTAAAATCTAGGGTGAAAGGATAACTCACACAGACTAAGGATAATAACGATAAGATAAGGTATAAAGTGCTATGAGACTCCCAGAGGAAGGCTTCATCAAGTGGAGGGGCCATGACCTTAGGAAAGAGATGACACATGGGAGTTACGAGATAGCTGGGTTTCGAGAAGGGAAATGGTATATGAGGATTGCTAAGAACCCAGCCTAAGCAAAATGAATGAGTAAATGAACACAATCACAGTTTGCTGTCACTTGACTGAATATTCTAGATATACTGGAGCACATGGGCCAGGGAGGAGGGGAAGGAAAGGATCCCAAAAGTTACAACATATTTTTGAGGGTGGTGAAGAAACTGCACCGTGACACGTTCTAAAAAGAGCACTGGTATGCTAATTGTTCTGAGCCCTACTCTGACACCTACAAACGAACAGCTTGAACTATACGAGCAGTTTTCAATATTTTTTTCCACCCAGCACACCCAAGGAACACACCAATACATTAGAATAATGGATCACTACAAGAGTAATTCTTGCTAAATACTGGAGCAGGTATTATTCTCAAACCCCTTTTACTCACAGGAAAGTGAACTCCACAGGTGGAAAGATGCTCAAACTTGATAAGTAGTACTCCCTGAGGGCAGGGAACCCATCTTATTCACCATCGTCTCCCTGGAACCTGGCATACTGCCTAGAATGTAATGCAAACTTTTTTCATTTTGTTTTTTTAATGAACGGGATGAATAAACAGAACCCTGACCAAAGCCCTTTTCTTTCCACTATATGACTCAGCATTCCCTGACATATAGCGATACGAAGTTACTTGTACATAGTCAGAAAAGTCATACCTGAAAGAAAAACAGGGCCAAATCCAGAAAGAAGTAAAACTAAGAAGAGGTAGAGCAAGGTGAGAGGGGAAAAAACAAGGACTTCACTTATGACATGATTTTATCAAATGACATGATTTTATCAATTTGGCACACAGCATGGGAAATAAATTACTTTGAAGTGGCAGTACACACTTGGCTGTGGAAAGACACAGCCTGTAGAAAGATTAATCTTAGTGTCTCACCTGAATCAATTAAAACATAAAGTAGGTGATAGGTAAATACAGCAATAACATGAATAGAAACCAACACAGCAGAAAATTCATAGTTTTATTATGAAATAATAAGGCAAAACACATAAAGCACATCTATTTATGCTTACCATAAAGCAAAACACAAATATAAGCTGTTATACTGTGACATAGCTCAAACTCAAAGAGCAGGCAAACAAACACTCAATGCTAATGGCTAACTTAGCCATTTTTCATTTGCTACATTTCTTTTCTGAAATTTATTTTCCATCAAACAATAATACAGGAACTCATTTTTGTTCTTTAAAAAAATGTATATAATGTCAAAAGTTCTGGATTCCCATCCAATTCTGCCCAAAGGGAGCCATTCTTGTTAATTTGATAGCAATCTGTCCAAACTTAGGGGTGAGAGGTGTTTAACATGAATAGGATCACCTTGTACACACACTTCTGTGTTCTATAACTTACTTTTTAAATAATAAATCCTGGGCATCTTTCCATATCAGTACATAAAAATCTACTTCATATGAAACTTTGTACAGTATTTCCACAGAATAATCTACCATAACTTATTTAGCATTCCCCATTGATGGACATTTAAGTTGACTTATACTTTGAACAAAAAAAAATATCTGTGAATTAACTATGTTAATTTTTAATGGGAAAAAATTTCTAAAGCTCTGGGAATCTGTAAATGAAAAAATCTGGAAAGATATGATGGAAGCTGTCCTATACAACATGGCAGAAAGGATTCCTTCATAAAATCCTTTCTGCACTTTAGAACAGTCCAACTGAAAGTAAAGGACAGGCCTCCAGGCATAGCCCTACTCCATGTTCTGGGCCCTTGGTTGTCCTGCACTGGCCCCCACTGGTAGGCTCATAAATAGGAGTACTCAGAGGTCAATTTACTAATGAAGCTGCTGGAGTTCATGATTGAGGGCCCCTCCAAGGCCCCAGCAATGTGTTCAGTTGTATGGCTTTGTAACATTTGCCAAGGAATTTTAAATTATCGGCTAAATTGAGGACAACAACTAAAAGTCTAAAACTTCAGAATATTGAAAATGAGAGTGTCTTCTGTAGAACAGGGTCATAAATTATACAACTTACACTTAAACAGCATGAAATCTACCATAAACCTTATTTTTCTACCAGAACCAGGAATGTCCAGACTGACAGGAGCTGTTAATATAACACAAAACTTTTGTAAATTGCCTGCATTTGAATTTAACCTATAACTAATTATAATGTATGAAAGACCCTTAATGTAATTATATCTTACATATCTTTCACTGGCAAGCTTTTTTGTTCTCTTATATAACTTTTAGTTTTAAATTCCTAAAGTTTTTCAAGCTTAGTAACTTCCTGATAGACATAGATTTTTTAAAAATAATAAGCAAATGCAGACAAAAATGTAACACAATTAATACAATTGAAAAGCATAGATATCACCAGTTTTAATGGTTACATAATATCTCATCATGCTGATGTATCATAATTTGTCATTTCAAAATGGAAATTATTCCTGGTAACTTTTTAAATGCTAAATTTGTGTGTATTTTTTAAATTGTAGAATATTAAAAAATTAAATAGAAATTTAATACTTTGTAAAGCTAATTTTAAAAAGATATAGTACTATCATACTGTTGAGTAGCCTACTTTAACAATATAAAACATTAGTTTTCCAAACTTGACAAGCTAATTCTAAAATTTGTATAGAAATACAAAGTGCTAAGAATAGCCAAAGAGAGTCCTGAAGAAGAGGAATGGAGAAGGACTTGTTCTACTGGATATGAAGAGTTATTATACAGCTATAGTAATTAAGACAGAGGCTAACACGCCTACTAATATGAAAAATTGTGCTGGGACAATTCACTATCCATTTGGAAAAAAATTAATTTTACTCATTATATACAACTCATAGGTATACAAGTCAATTTCAGGTAAACTATATAGATCTGAAAGAGACAGGTAAAAAAGAAATAAATTTTTAGTAGAAAATTGAGAAGAGTATGTAAACAAGTCATGAAAAGCACAACCATAAAGGGAAAAATTGCTAAGTTTTCTGTTTGTCAAAATATCTGTTCATCAAAAAAAACTCAGTATTAACTCCTATAACTTGACTTTGGTGATGGTTACATGAATCTCTACAAAAAATGAAACTGTACAGAACTGTATACAAACACACACAAATGCAGGCTTTAAAAAATGGTATAAAACTGAGTAAAATGTATTGTCTAGTTAAAAGTAATATTCCAAGGTCAATTTCCTAATTTTTCCAGCTATGTAAGATGTTAACATTAGAGTAAGTTGAGTGAAGGGTACCTGGGATTCTACTATTTTTGCAACTTTCTGTGAGTGTACTGCTTTCAAAATTAAAAGTTTTTTTTAAAAACATCAGCAGGGGAATAAAAAAACATGCCAAAGAGTGGGAAAAGATACGCAACACATATAACTGAAAAACTGACCAATATCTAGAACATAAATAATTATTACAAAATAAGAAACTCAATAGACAAATGGGTTGCTTCAGTAAATAAGAAATCAAAATGACCAATACAAATATGAAAAAATACACAACTTCATTTGTGATCAGGAAAATGACAATTAAAACCACAATGAGATGACAGTACACATGCCCCAGAATGTCAAATAGAAAGTTTGTATCAAGTGTTGACAATGATGTGAACACCTGGAACTCTCATACACTTCTGGTGAGAGTGGACATTTATTTGT